TAATATATTTTGGTTTTAACATAACATGAATAACAATGGGCGGGAATATATTAGCGCTACCAATTCGCTTGTAAGGTATATGTCATGATGTAAAATAAGAACGTGACTTATCGATTAAAAAGTAACTGCACCCCTTTTTTGAGAGAATTGTAGACCAAATACAAAATAATCTATTTAATCTATTGTCAGGGCACTCCCACAGRCAGTAAGGGATGAGAAAGCAAAATAAGTCAATGAAGGAGCCCAAAGCATTCAAGAAATGGCACCTCAGAGCGACGTTACTTGAACTCGCTTSCGAAAAAGGTTTGCTGTTTCTTTCTAAAGAGTTGGGTTTAATTCGAAWAACAATAAATTCCGTAATACTCTAATGCTACTGGTCAATAGATGATATTTCTTCTACATGTTTCTGCAGCGAACAAGTTACAATAGACCTCGCGATGGTATACAGAAAAAAGAGCCTCTACTTTGCAATAAACGCTATGTGAATGTGCGTTCCTTGGCAGACAAAGCATTTTACATGAAAAATTTACTTACCCCATCCTATGAAACAATGTATCAAGGATAGCTTTGTCAAGACAAAGACCTTTACAAGCATGAAATACAGGTGAAGTCCCTCACACAGCATCCATGAGAAGACAGCTGTGTGAAAATAGTGCTGCACTACTGCTAAGAGTGTGCATAAAATCTGTATATGGTAATAAGACATATTGATGTCCAATTGATATCATAGCCAAGTATCATTTAAACAAGCCAGAAAAAAAGAGAAAGTTCATTATCTTATCTTATCAACTGAAGTCTAAGTAAATCGTCTTTTTTCCTCAGATTTCATTTGATACATTTGGCAACATGTGAATAATTTAATTTTGGTTATAAATGAACATGATTATATACATACCCGATAGTTATTCCTTTTAGCGAAGAAAACATCTGCCATGTAAACCAAGTTTGCCAGGATAAGTGATATCATGAGACTTCGATGAACATAAAGTTTTTCTGCATTTCTTTGAGACTTTACTCTTTGAAGCAAAATATAATTTGTTAATATTTGATTTAAGCATATAAATCAGGTAACTATTGTTACGTATAACTTTCAATAAAGAAATTTCTATTAAGCCAGGCTGTCTTTTAGAGGAGAAATATCAAATATACTTRGGAACTTTATAGCGTTGTTAAACCGGCAGCTACAGAATTCACGAATGCACGACTTTCAAAAATGTCGCGATATGTCACGTTCGCCGACCACGGTACTGGGGACGATAATTAGTCACTACTCCCCCAATGTTAGTGTCCGTGAACTACTGTTATTTTTAGGTCGTACATACATATCAAATGTATAAAGCCCTGATAAATCCCTTCTGAGTTCTTTTTTTGGTAACTATTTTAATTGATAACAAACGGTAAATTTACAGACATCCTATGACGCCTGACAAAATCGAGATAAGAGTGGAAAACTGTAGAAATCTTAGGATTTGTGGCCCTGGTCTGTCTGCRAGTTTGCCGTCCGCCGATGATCGTTGCAAACTCGCTCTGAAAAACCGGTTTGAGCTTATCAGTAAAAACACTGAAAAGCCATTCGAGTGCTACAAATTTTTTGTTTTGTTTTAGTTATTAAAAAGTAATATTTCTTTAGCTAAAATCACAGCAAAAAAACTGAAAATGAAATTCTCGCACTGAACTCACGAGCGATCGTTTCAATTTTGCAAACGCACGCTCATTTCTAACCTTTTTTTTGTTTTTGTTTTTGCTTCGCGACTCGTGAGATATCGGTTTTACTCGTGAATTCAACGCGGAATTTACTCGTCACCCAATGAATTTACCTATAGAATCAGCTCACAAAGAATCAGAACTTTTTTTGTCAGGCGTTATAGGTACTTTAATAAATACTGTTTTATGAAAGTATTTATGGTATAAGGCTAGTGAAAATGTGACGTTTCTTCTAATGTTTGCAACCCGGAGGACCGAATGGCCAATTTGCATTAGAAAATAAAACCCAATAAGATCGTGAAAATCCCTATTTAGAACCTGTTTGATTAATTCGTACTACTATCAATTGTAAGCCATTGCTTGTTGATAGTATTTTAACTTAAATATAGCTAAAATCGTCTATCATTTCGTAATTTTCTAGATCTGTTAAAATTTCAACCAAGCTAAATTTATTTGAGACTGATTCCATAAGTCTTAGTTTTCGCTTCTCGGTATTTCGCTTTGAGCGACAAAAACTCTGACGGAGAGCGAACTGGGACCGACTCATGGAATCAGTCTAAATTTATTTGGGCGCGCTGTTGTTGTACATGACATTTAATCACAACATACTAGCACCAATATTTCCCAGTTTCGATATCTTAGCTGAAAGGTATCTCTTCTTTCCCCGGAGCGTCGCCGTCATCAAAACCACTCTACCAGAATATCGAGAGTGGGAAATTGCTTTTAACAGTTTGACAATGAATTGATGTATTTGCAAATATGCTAATTAGGGCAATTTACTTTACTCTGTACAATATCACGATGGTTATACTCATGGCAACAGTCCCAAGTATCATCAAGCTGAGCTCCAAGTAAATCTGTGTCTTGCTGAGTACTGGCCGTGCAGAAATCCTTCTGGCAGTTCTACTGACACTTTGGTTTAGCAGCTGAAAACAAATAAAAAACAAGATGTTTCCTAAAATAATTGGAATATAATACGCTGTGATCGGTCAAAAAGCGCGTTTGGATGAGAGTATCAAGCACGCTCGCGCCATCGTTGCTTTGTGGATTGTACTTTCATTGTGAAAAATAACATCTTTATAATAGATAAAACAAGCAAGTAAACTAAATTTGATTATTTCTTGAAGTCGCAGATTATTTGTGTACTCGCTTTATTTTCTGATTGGTTGCACATTTTACGTACAATTTTCATCAATCAAAACTTGCCTTTAAAATTAAAGGTCATATATAATAAGTTATAGCTTATTCTTTCCTTAGCTAGCTTTCTACTTTTAATGACTTACATCGCGAGAGAAATCCTTCGAACAGTTTTTCAGGAATTCCTTGTTCATCATAATGTCCTGTAAAATAACTAGAATTATCATTATATACAGGAAATACAGAATGATGGCCATTTTGTCAAACGAAGTAATCCAAATTTGTTAGAGTTGTATCCAGAATGATATAAAGTGGGGAGGGCAACTCAAAAATAAATAATAAATAGATTTAGGCATACGGAATATAAAACTTCTTTCCGATGAACGCTGATTTAGTTGTCTTTCAGAATGTCTTCAATGGGCAAATACACTTCACGAAGACTACTTTGAGTGGTTTTCGACATATTTAAAGCAAGTGGTGCGGTGATGCGGAAAAAATATCACACAATTTACGGCTTCTTTATTTACAGCTTTTTGCTGGCAAAAGAATTGTTCGATCAACGAAGATTTTTTTTGATCGCCTAATTAGCTTCAAAACACGCTTGAAAATTGGTTGCAACTTCGCGACTATTTTCCATCGCCTCAATAATTGCAGGGCTACTTACACTGCACGTACTATTTTAGTTGCGCGATAACAAAGTGGCGCTGCAAAAATAAACGGTCCTTTAAACATCACCTCCCCTCATGTCTCATTGAAAAGAGTGAAAGAGAGTTAAGAAAAAAAATGTCATGTTTTGTTATAAAAAGTATCCAAGCTGCAAGAACACATTACCGAGCTTTATGTCATAATTCATACCTTATTTGAACCGTTCGTTACGAAATCACGTAACTCCACTGCGCTCTTTTGCCATATAGTTTTTTTTACAATACCCTTGATGAGATTTCTGGCGACATTATTATCACTAAAGATATGAATAAAACGCATCAGAAGAAAAAACACAACAAAACAAAGACAAAAAAATAAAAAAACCTAATGAAGGCTGAATTACATATTAAAAAAAAATACAAAGTACAAACTATAAGTCATTAACATGTCGAGGTTGAATATTAAGTAAATGGAGTAGGTTCGATCGAGGCCTTATTGCTCTGCGATTTTACTCTGGAACAGGCTATCGTTTTAGCGATTTAACTCTGGAACATGCTATCGATTTCACCGATTTTTCTCTAGAACAGGGTCAGCGTTTAATTCCGGAATTTTCGATGCTGGGTAAAAATTCACGGGTAATAATTCGGTCTACACGCAGGCTAATGCTGGATTTTACTGTGGAACAGAGTTTCATTTTCATCGATTCTACTGGAACAGGGTATAGTTTTCAGCGATTTTACTCTGGAACAGGGTATAGTTTTCAGCGATTTCACTCTGGAACAGGCTATCGTTTTCAGCGATTTCACTCTGGAACAGGGTCAGGGTTTTGAGGTCCCAGCGGCACACTCCCACCCAAGTTTGGAGGCAGTACCCCCCAAAACCCCGAGTAGTAAAAACGTCTATTGAACTTTCACCGACTACGACTTCATCAGAGACTGACTAGAGAAATGTCAGCTAATTGTTTAAAAGAGCGTTTAAAACAAAAGGGGTTGTCCATTTCACAGGTTGATAGATAAGAGGCAATCTTTATCAGACGCCTCATACGTTTATTTAGTATTTTTTTGTAAGATTCTTTTTTATTATTATATAAGTGAGATTTAGAGTCAAGTTATTTCAGACGAAGACGACAAGGGTACCATACAACCTGACATCATCACAATTTTTTCGTCACAATAGATGTACTAAACAATGCATTTTATTATAAGAGATCAGTGACGCCTAAATATGGCATTAACTTGTTATCAAAATATTGATGTAACTGTTTTTAAAAACTATAATCATTGTGATGTCACAATTACCATTTTTAAATCATTTTTAAATTGTACCAGAGAGTATAAACACTAAAACTATATATGTAACATAAATACCACTAAWTACTGCTAAATCATGCTAATTATATTGTTTTCTATTATTTAATTAACAAGTGTTGCACATATTTAGAGTTTGTACTCTATAAGATAATAAAGCTTTATCTATGGCAACTCTAGTTCTCCCTCCGCTCCCCTCGTTCCCCCACCCAATCAGAGATTGTAAAAATGCCCAGTCTGAGTAGGGTTCAATAGTGGAAACCCAATATTTCTTGGGAAATATGTGAACATTGGATGGAATGGAATTAGACTTTTTACTAAATAAAGAATAACTTCTGTTGTACAATTGTAGACTGTTGACAATACATACCTTCTTATTTTGAACTCCAACTCTATTGACTGGTTATAACACTTTGAATTTCTCGGTGCTGTCTTAAGAAATTTTATGATGTCTCTGTTCAGGTTAAATATTTCCTAAAAAAAATGTCTATTTGGTCAGATGATTGATTTTGTATGTCAGGTACAACGCTAGTRTTGTATTAGTCTCCTCGCAGCCGTGTTTAGTTTCGGTCACGCGCGTCACGCAGCCTCTCCACACACGGCTGCTTCGACCAACGGCAGATTCCATTTCAATTGTATTTATCAGCCARTCACTGAGCCGAAAACAACGACTTCGACTTCGACTTCGGGTTTAAAAACTGTATATTCGCTTTATTTGACTCTCTATGAAGAATTAATGAATCAGACAACTTACAAATATTTAGGAGAAAAGGAGAACTGTTTTTTGTGCTCAAAACTTGCTGCTAAGAAGCAAAAAATATCTATATGGTCTTATATTTGGGAAGAGACTTGAGAGGACTTATCAACTGATCACAATCCTGATCTTTACGTTTGTAAATTAGGCTATGGAAATGTAATAAAGCCACAAAACGCGCGAAACAAAGTTCAACAAGTTAAGAGTGAGATCAACGAAGTATTTAAAGAGAATAAATGTAGATTAAATAGGTTAAATAAAGCTGAAGAGGAGACATGCGATCACCACAATGCCGCCACCCGCCGCCGTGATCGATCAAGGCTGCTAAATCACTCGACTTCACAGTAAATTCACTAAGACATCTTTTCCTTGCACAAATTGGTCAACAGCGACCTTTCGATAGTGATTTAGCTCTTCTATTTTGAAATTTTTCGGCGACAATACTGAGTGCTTCTTCGAAGG